GCAAAAACAACATTTGGTTGCATCAATTAACCCAAACTTGTGCAATCTAGCTTTGGTAGCAAGTCTCTCATGGCAAGCTAACCACAGGATAACAGTGGCTCTAGGCCATGCTATATTGCCATAGAATAAGGTCCTCCAATCCATAATATGGCTGCTGTTATGCAAGTCTATGTAAACCTTCCTCATGTTAAACATACTTTTATGCTTCAACTCATCCCAAGATGGTAAGTCTTGGACACTTTCCCGCTGATTCATGGTAGCTTTAATAATACAAGAAGAGCAAGCCTGAACATTAGCCTCCACCAGCTGCTTATTTTTTAGGTAATAGACATGAACCCATTTCACCCAAAGACTATCCGATTTACCACTCAAGTTCCAAATAAGCTTCACCAGGTTGGTTTTATTCCACACCTCAAGATCAATCAAGTTTAGGCCACTATGATTTTTCGGGCTGCAAACAATTTTCCATGCAACAGGGCTTTTCTGCTCTTCTCAGTGCCACCAGTCCAAAGAAAAGTACGACATATGATATCAATTTTCTAAATCACACACTTAGAGAAAGACAAACATTGCATCCAATGGTTCATGATTGCAAAAGTCACACTTTTAAGGAGTTGAATCCTACATGCTTAGCTCAATAATCTAGAACTTCAATGAGTGATTCTACTAACTATCCTGTCAATTAAGCACGTGTAATTGTGAATATTAAATTTCATGCTAGTCAATGGAAACCTTAAGTACTTGAAAGATAGGGTCCCTTCTTCAAAGGCAGTATTCTTTTTTATGTCTTCCTTGGTATTATGATCCACACCACCAAAATAGATACAACATTTTGCAGAATTAACCTTGAGGTTAGTAGAATTAAAAAACTTGCAAAAAGCGTTCATCATGATGTCAATTGAACCAATACCCATAACAATAACATGGTATTCTGAAACCACTCGACAAACCTTTCAATTTGTTTAAAACATTGCAACACAAATATATATTTCTTAACTACTTTAGTATTATCAAAATAGTTTAGTTTTTTCATATCACTAAATAATTACTTTATTAAATATTTCAATTGTTAATTAAAATTCAATTGATTAAATAGTTAAAATATTTCATAAAATAATTATTCAGTAAACAAAATATTTGAAATATTAATAGTTGAAATAAATAAACTATTTAGTTTATTAAATAATTTATTTATTAATATTTAGTAAAATAGTCTATTAATAAACTTATTTAATAATTAATCTATTAATTAATGATATTAATATTTAATTAATATTTAATAAAATAGTTGAAATATAAAATATTTCATAAACTATTAATATTTAATAAACTATTTAATATGTCAATTACTAATATTAAATAAAATGTCTTTCCATTAATTAATAGTTGAAATATTAAATAATTAAAGTATTTGATAAAATAAATAGTTTAAATATAAATAGTCAAAATATTTAATAGACTAATTATTTAAATAAACTAAATAGTTGAAATATTAAATAGTTGAAATAATAAAACAATAATTAAATAAATTAAATAGTTGAGATATCAATAGTTGAAATATTAAATAGTTGAAATAATAAAACAATAATTAAATAAATTAAATAGTTGAAATATTAATAGTTTAAATAAACTAATGGTTTAGTTTATTAAGTAATAATATTTCAAATATTTAATGTTTATAATATAATTAAATACTTATTTCATATTTAAACAATTATTTAACATTTCAATCATAATTAAATATATTACATAAAAATATTTCAATTATTAATTAATGATAAAATAGTTTTTTAAATAATAAATAATAATTAAATATTTCATATTTTTTCATACTATTTATTTATTATGTCATACTATTTAATTATTATTTCAACTATTTAGTTTATTTAAATAATTGTATAATATTTCATAAACTAATTTATCATCAATAGTTGAAATATTTATTAAATTATTTAATACTTAATTACACATTAAATAAAATATTTAATACTATGAAAAAGTTAAATTACTTAATAAAATATTTTAGTAAAACTGAAATCCTTAAATAATATATATTTGTGTTGCAATGTTATAAACAAATTGAAAGGTTGGCCTAGTGTATAGAGAGTACCCGTTATTGCAAAGGTTTCTAACAAAAATAAATTTAAACATGATATGATACAATAATTTTATTATGTCTCTTATTTTACGCATTAAACGAACTCTAAAATCTTTGATAATTTGATAAAATTTTATTTATTTATTTATATATAAAGTTAAATATGTTTGTGGTCTTCAGAAACATTTTAAATTTTATTTTTAATTTTTCAAAATATTTTCTTTAAAGAATAGTCTTTCTAAAATTTTTCATTCACACTTTTAGTCTCTCTAATAGCTTAGCGACTGTTTTACAACTTAGCGATAGAACTATTAAAAGTTTATTACTTAGCGACTGAATTAACAATAGTTTTAGCGACAATTTTAGTATTAGGGATCAAAAGTGTGGATGAAAATTTTTAGGATGAACATTCTTTAAAGAAAATATTTCGAGGAATGGAAAACGAAAATTTAAAGATATTTAAGAGAACTACAGACATATTTAACCTTTTATATATATTTTTATAATTATGTTGATAGATCGCATAATTTAAGAGGGAGACTAAAACTATTTGAATTTAAAATAGAGAGATCAAAATTATTTAAATTTAAAATAGAGAGACTAATTTTATAAATAAAACAAAACAGAGAGACCAAAATTATAATTTAGTCATATTTTTATTTTGAATTATTTAAATATATTTTTAATAACAATTATATAATTTATTATATTATATTTATTATTATTATTATTGAAAAACATTAAACTTCATTTAATTTGCTATAGTCAAATTCAATGGTAAGAATTTGAATTTGTAACTTGGAGGAATATTGTTCAAATTTCTTCTAGACAACTTGTAAAATATTATTGTAAATAATAATTTTTCATTTCCCAAATTTATTAATAAATTAATTTAATATTGCTGGGCTAATGTGGTAGGCTTTGTATGTGGGCTTTCTATGATAGGTAAATGAGCCCATATATTTTACATAATAAGTACCCTATTTTTTGTGATTATGTAATGGTTTTACCTCATTTTCACACAAAATATTGCAGAATAGAATAGAGATTGCTCTGAAGAAAATCACAAAAGGAACTATTTATTCAGGTAATCCTAAATCTCTACTTTTAATAATTAAATTATTTGTTCTAGTTTAAGCTTAGATTAAAAATTGTATGAGATTGAGTTTAAAACTTTATCAATGTCTTATGACATATATCAATGAACTTACAACTTTATATATATTTATTACTTCATTTTCAATTTTCAAGTCAATTTTCTTCATTGAATTTATCAGTAGAATGAAACAGAGTGGAATAAATATATTATTTTATTGCTTGAAACATTTAGGATGGGACTACATAAATTGTTTTTTAAAATAAAAATTGAACACTTTAAGTGTGATTACAGTGCTTTTGGTTAATTTAATATTTTATCTTTTTTTTCTTTTACTTTTAAATTGATTTTAAAATATTATATGTGTCCTCTCTAATTATAATTATTAAATTAAAAATAGGAAAAAAGAAAAAAGTATCATTAGTTAATAAACAGTCTACAAGTGTCACTAAAGGTATTCAGTTTTTCTTTTTTGAATTTATAAAGTCAAAATTTAATATACTTATTAACACTTTATGAATAAATATTTGACTAATATTAAAATTTCAATAAAAAATGGATCTAACTTTTCTCTTTTAAAGAAAAAATTGATGTAGAATTTTGAATATAAATTATTAAAAAAACAGCATTAAATAGTATTTTTCCAGTCAATAAAAAGTAATTCTAGCATTTATTATTAAAAATATAACCTGTCCAAAGCACTAGTGAAAAATAAAAAAGAAAAAAAAGAAAAGTTTTTTTATAGAATTAAAAAACACTATTTAATAATAATAAATATATAAAATACAAAAACGGTGGGAAGTGTTATGGTTGGTTGAATGTTTAACCATTAGAAAACGTTAAAAAACTAATAAAATTATTTATTTATTTATTTTGACGAATCAATTAACTTCATTTAAAATTCTAGTAACTTTGAAAAAGTAACAGTGTCACATTTACCATGGTGAAGTTGACGTTTTTACCGCATTAGTTAAATTCATTAATTCTTGCTTAAACGTCACTTATCGTAAACAGTGATTAAAGCAAAAGTTATAATGATGGTTTACGTCGGTATAATAATTTGATTTTCAACTTTAATCACTTTAATTAATTTAATTAACCTTTGAGTGATTAAACTAAAAGAGTATAGTATATTCCAAAACGAAAAGATCATGTGATCTGTCTCTCGCTGGAGCCATTTCTGTCCGTTAACAATAAGATTCCATCTTTTTGTTTTCAATTATTATTATTATATATATTATATATTTTTATTTTTTATTTTTTATTTTTCTTAAATAAAATAAAATAATACTAGTATTTAATATTATTAAATAGTAAGATATTTTTTTAAAAGTGAAGTTGTTGCTGATTATGGAAGAAGAACACAAGAACAAACAAGACCATTACTTCTCACAACTCAGAAAAGTGATTTTTTGAAAAGTGATTATTTCAAAAGTGATTTTTTTTCGATCTGTATTCTCAGGTATTTAATTCAGTTAAGTGATTATGAATTTAAGTTACTTTTTCACGTTTTGTTGTTGTTGTTGTTATTACTGTGATTGATTATATATGTATATATGTATGTATATATTCTCCATCAACCTCAACCTCACGAGTCTTATTCTCAACTACCATAGTTTCTCTTCTTATACACTGTTGGTTGGATTCGTTCTAGTATTGTACTGTATGAACTAAGTCGTTTTTTCTGTCTCACTCACTCTCTTTCACTCTCTTTAATAGTGTATTTAATTTTATGTTTTTTTTGTATAATTATAGATTTGTGTGGCTTGAAGGTGAATCAGTGGAAGAATAATCAATTCAAGGAAAATGAAAGGTGCGGTTCTTGTTGCAATTGCTGCTTCCATCGGGAATTTTCTTCAGGGTTGGGATAATGCTACCATTGCTGGTAATAATTCTTTTTTTATGTTTGATTCTTCTAATTTGGTTTTTTATAGATTTGATTCGATGGTTGATGATTACAATTTACATGGTTTTTCTTTGAATTCTGCTTATTTTTGTTTGCAAGGTTTTTCTTTTTCATTCTTGTTATGTTATGGGCTGTGAAAAATTATCTGATTAATTATGATCCAGGCTAAAATGAATTTCTTATTTGATTCATTGATCTTAGTTTATAAGGTTAAATGATTTAATTTTCTGCTTTTGTATCCACTGAATCGGATCTAGGATGTGTTTGAATTGGCTTATTTCAGATTTCTTCTTGCATAAGCACTTATGAGACTTTTTCATGTTAGCTATAAGCTTATGAATCCACCTTATAGCTTATGTGAAAACAGTTCAACTTCATTTTATACATAAGCACTTTTATGATATACACACTTAATTAAAATGTTTGTTTTGGCTTATTTCAGATTTTCTTCTTGCATAAGCACGTCTGAGACTTTTTCATATAAGCTATAAGCTTATGTGAGAACAGTTCAACTTCATTTTATATTTTGATATAGAAATAGCTTCTACATAAGCACTTATATGATATAAGCACTTAATTGAGATGTTTGTTTGAACAGGGTTTTAGTATGGTTCAATTTAACAAGCAAAGTGTTCTAGCTGGAATTGTATGGTGTGAATTTCTTATTGAATGCTTATTCTTCATGTTTGTTTGTAGGTTCGATTCTCTACATTAAGAAAGACCTCGCTCTGCAAACAACTATGGAAGGACTTGTGGTGGCCATGTCTCTGATTGGAGCTACTGTCATTACGACTTGCTCTGGTCCTATCTCAGATTGGCTTGGTCGGAGACCAATGTTGATAATCTCATCCGTGCTCTATTTCTTGGGTAGTTTGGTAATGTTATGGTCTCCTAATGTTTACGTGTTGTGCTTAGCAAGGCTGCTTGATGGATTTGGTATTGGCCTTGCCGTAACTCTTGTTCCGGTTTATATATCTGAGACTGCTCCCTCCGATATAAGGGGATCGTTGAATACACTTCCCCAGTTCAGTGGTTCAGGAGGCATGTTTTTATCCTATTGTATGGTTTTTGTGATGTCATTGAGTGCCTCACCTAGCTGGAGAATAATGCTCGGGGTTCTCGCTATTCCTTCTCTCTTCTTTTTTTTATTGACATTATTCTTCTTGCCCGAGTCTCCTCGGTGGCTCGTGAGTAAAGGAAAGATGCTAGAAGCTAAGAAGGTTCTCCAAAGATTACGCGGCCAGGAAGATGTGTCAGGTAATGCTATTGTATCTAAATCGTTGTTCATTTCTTCACACATTCTCTTTTCGCCTTTTTATTGTTAATTTGTTATCATATATCATTTTTATGAATTCATACAGGTGAGATGGCATTGCTGGTCGAAGGTCTTGGTATTGGTGGTGATGCATCTATAGAAGAGTACATAATAGGCCCAGATGACGATGTGGTGGATGGCCATGAACAAACAACAGAGAAAGACAAGATCCGGTTATATGGATCTCAAGCAGGTCTCTCTTGGTTAGCAAAACCTGTAGCTAGACAGGGTTCTGTGGGTCTTGTGTCACGACATGGAAGCCTTGCAATGGATCCTCTTGTGACCTTATTTGGCAGCGTTCATGAGAAGCTTCCTGAGTCAGGAAGCATGAGAAGTGCTTTGTTTCCGACTTTTGGAAGCATGTTCAGCACGGCTGAGCCTCATATTAAAAATGAAAATTGGGATGAAGAGAGCCTACAAAGAGAAGGTGAAGACTACATGTCAGATGGTGCTGCCGGGGGCTCCGACGATGATTTGCACAGTCCTTTAATCTCACGTCAAACAACTAGCCTTGAAAAAGACATGCCGCCTCCTCTTTCCCATGACAGTATGCTGAATAGCATGAGGCGCAACAGTAGTCTCATGCAAGGGTCAGGTGAGCCAGTTGGTAGTACCGGAATTGGTGGTGGTTGGCAGCTTGCATGGAAATGGTCCGGTAAAGGTGAGGACGGGAAAAAGCAAGGAGAGTTTAAAAGGATTTATTTGCATGGGGAGGGAGTTTCTGGATCTCGACGTGGATCCATGGTATCAATTTCTGGTGAAGGTGACTTTGTCCAGGCCGCTGCCTTGGTTAGCCAACCCGCACTTTACTCCAAGGAGCTAATGGGCGAACAGCCAGTTGGGCCTGCAATGGTTCACCCATCTAAGACGGCTTCAAAAGGGCCCATTTGGGAGGCTCTCCTCGAACCAGGGGTCAAGCATGCACTGTTTGTTGGGATTGGAATTCAACTTCTTCAGCAGGTAATGTGTAGTTACTCTTCCTAAACATCTGAAATTGGAGGTGTCTTTTCCAGGTAATGACTAACACTAAATTCTTCATGTTTGTGCAGTTTTCGGGGATAAACGGAGTTCTATATTACACTCCTCAAATCCTTGAAGAAGCCGGTGTTGCAGTTCTTCTTTCAGATTTGGGTCTTAGCTCAACGTCCTCGTCTTTTCTTATAAGTGCTGTCACAACCTTGTTGATGCTTCCATCTATAGGCTTAGCCATGAGGCTTATGGATGTCACTGGCAGAAGGTACGTTACTACTTGTCACAATTAGTCTTACAAAATTAATTTCATTCATAAACACATTTGTAAAATGCTAACTCAATCTGTATCGTTTGCAGACAGTTACTACTTGTCACAATTCCGGTGCTGATAGTGTCGCTCATTATATTGGTCCTTGGAAGCGTAATAAATTTTGGCAGTGTTGTCCATGCAGCGATCTCAACTGTATGCGTCGTGGTTTACTTTTGCTTCTTTGTTATGGGTTATGGACCAATTCCCAACATCCTTTGCGCAGAGATCTTTCCCACTAGAGTGCGTGGGCTCTGCATTGCTATCTGTGCGCTAGTGTTCTGGATTGGAGACATCATTGTCACATACTCACTGCCTGTGATGCTCAGTTCATTAGGACTGGCCGGTGTCTTTGGCGTTTACGCAGTTGTGTGTTGCATCTCTTGGGTATTTGTGTATCTGAAGGTTCCAGAAACAAAAGGCATGCCCCTTGAAGTCATCTCTGAATTCTTTTCTGTTGGTACAAAGAAAGCTGAAGCTGCCAAAAATGAGTGACAGAATTTGTTATATACTTGTGTATTTTTAGTTGGCAAAGCCACCATCTCTGATATTTATAGATTTTGCTTGTCTTAAGTTTGTGATAATGAGGATATCTTCTAGCTCAAATATTATTCTTTCATATAAAGTTTTGGAATTCAAAATTGGGAATAGCCTTCTGGTTTTTCAACTGAATGTGTATGTTTAAAGTGTTTGAATGATGCACAATTTGTTGAGATTTCTTAGTTAACATTGTCACAAGGAGGCACTCTGAACCGGAGTATAGAAAAACTGTTGAGTCATGTGGTAAGGAGATTTTTGGTCTGATACAGTTATTAAATTAACTGTCAGCAACTACCTAGTGATTAAATAAGGGCGGAACTTCTTCCACCTCAAGTCATTTGGGGTCTACAAATCTGGAAAAACACGGTTCTGTGCTGCTTTTATGTGTATTTTCGGACAGATTTAACATTTGTGTGCCAGTAAAGGAGAGATGAAGTAGTGATTTTTGAAAAACTTTTTGCAAAGGTTAATTTTAAGAAGAGCAGAAACAACGATTAGGGAGTGAAAATCTAAAGAACATCAAATAAAGCGATAGAATTAGAGAGGTTACATTACTGTTTCGGCTTTAAATCATACTGCTACTTTAATCCCCAAAAAATTTCTCTCGAGATTTTTATTATCAAATACTTGAACTTTTATAAAGGATCAACCCAAAAGTCATCATTTCATCCAACTTTTTATTAGGTTTATTTTGCAACCTAAAATTCAATTATAAATGCACAAGAGTACTAAGTTATTGTATTTCAATATTAGCACAATAACACAATTACACAACTCGTCTTTCACTCTCAACAATAAAACAACGTATGGTAAATAAAATTGATTTTAGAAGAAGAGTGAGTGAGATAGGTGACTATATTATTTAGAAAATTCGTGCATTTAAAGTAGACATTTAAAGTAGGCATGATTTTAGAAGAAGAGTGAGTGAGATAGGAGACTAAATCTTTTTCACTACTTGTTTTATGTCTTTTGTATCTTTTAATTTTAATTGATTCTGCAGACATTTTGACTTTATGTGACTTTCCTTTATACATTGGAAGAATCATGACACAAAGGTTGATCTTTTTGTACTTTGCTTTTGAATTTGGAGGATGTTTTTTGTCCGTTAGAATATTTTTTTAATTTTTGAAAAATGAGATACATGTCTTCATGACTTTTACTTTGACAGTCTTTATTTTCTGACTTCATATCTTTGACATTTGTAGCTTTTAGTGCAAACAAGGTAGTCAAATTCATAAAAGATAAATCTTTAGTTTCATAAATCGTAGTGAATTTAGATTGTCAACTACGGTTTATGAATTTAATGACTTTTTTAATTAAATATTCGTTAAGAAATCCTTTCCCAATATTCTCATATGATTGACAAGAAAAATAAATTATTTTTCTATGTCCTAAATAGTTTCTTTAGGGTTCATTCTAAACAATTCATACTCGAGGGTAAATATGTTAGTTATAGCATTTGTATATCTCGGTTGTACTTTTATGGGTAACTAGTAGAAGACCTGTGCGTCTGCACGGGTAATTTCATTCATATTTTAGATCATTCGATAAGATTTGATTGTTAATGACGATAAATACAATATGTCTAATAACTATAAATATTTATAAATATCATTAATAACTATAAATATTTATAAATATTTTTTTGATTAAAATAAAAAAGGTATTGTGGTGATTAACATCAGATTGCATGTTGCCAATAACATGTATCAAAACATTTTTATTATTTATCTATAACAGAATATTAAATAAGAACATGTTGCCAAAAAATGTATCACATAAATATTTAGATGCAAATGTCTCATTGTATTGATAATAGATCAAAACATACATCGAGTTTGAAAGCTACATTAGATTCACTGGTGTTTTTAATCCTGACAGCACTCTTAACCCGTTTTCCTGGATTATTTACATATGACAATAAAGAAAGAAGAGATGAATTAAGTAATACAAAGATAAAATATATTACCAATCCTATAGAGAAGTACCAGAATAAGGAATCTAAAAAACCTGAGTTTGCATATGCATTTCTGTCTCCCAAACTAAAATTAAAGGTTATGCATTCTTTTCCGAACTTGCAGGTTTGAAACATTTAAGAAGTATGTGCAGGTACTTAAATACACCATTTATAATCCATGTAGTGATACTCACTTATAGAGAACAAACATTTAAGAAGCATGTGCAGGTACTTAAATACACCATTTATAATCCATGTAGTGATACTCACTTATAGTGAAACAATTTGTACTTTGGATGAACTCTCACTAAATTGATTCAATAAACTACCTAGTGAAGAACTGTGTCTGCACGCCTAAGAGCTGTCATATCTCTAGTTAGGACAAGAACACCCATCTGAATTATTGCTTCAAGGACCTGCATAAATGCATAAGCTTCATTTGATAATAAACTTAGATTGAGAATATGGAATTTCATGCTAGAGTATTCATGACAACTGAATAATTATGGAAGATAATATATTCTTGCTTAATATTATCAATTAGAATAGCTCCTATTTTGAAAACTAAATAATTATGTAGATAGCAACAAAGGAAAAACATCCTATCCCAAAAGCAAGTTTGGAAAAAGCTTTACAGGATACATTAGTATCAGTTGATATACCTTAATCTATGAAAAAGAACAAACCTTTAAGAATTACTGGAAGGGCTGCCTCCTGCACGACAGTCATTTTCTCATATCCATCATCCTTGACTCCTTTTAATGACAGTGGAGAGACTGAACACTGGTCGAATCTGCAACATCATATCTCAAAAAATCAGACATACAAAATACAGGAGCAAAACGATGCAGAAAACTATGATAGGAATCCTATCATAGGATCAAAATTCTTGAAATGTACACCCTTGACAATGGAGTATTGTTGGAAAAAAGACGGATACTTGATTCGAAAAGCTAGTTCTTTGTTCAACAGTTTGTCAAGATGTGCCGAATATATTTTAGGATTGTCCTCTCCAGCCTAGGACACATGCAGTTTCATAATGTTTAACAGAGGGTTGTGATTGGAAACATGAAATAGTATGCATTTTAGAATGTGAAGTAAATACCTTTTTCATGATTTGTCTTAACACTGTAGCTGTCATTTGTACGAAAGGGATACAATCCTTATTCCAAAACACAAAGCAACCAACATGGTTATCATACTCGACCTCGACTTCTAAACAATTCATACTCGAGGATAAATATGTTAGTTATAGCATTTGTATATCTCAGTTATACTTTTATGGGTAACAAGGGTGTCCCATATTTCTATTACTTAAATATAAGAGTGACAGTGATAATAATTTTTTCCTTCAAATTGTGCTTAACATTTTTCTTATGCTCTTTGCCCCATATTTCTCTAGATTTATTTTTTACAACACCGTCAACTAGATGTATGAAAACAAACGGGCCATATTTTTTTTTACAAAACTAAGACATCATAATTCATTCAATCTATAAATATTTTCATCTTCTATTTCTAACAAGCACAATTTTTCCATTAAATCGACTTCAAATATAAGAGGGAGAGTGGTGAATTGTGTTAACTGTTTTTTGAGAAAACTTTTCACAAAAGGTTAATTTTAAGTTGATTTATTTTAAGAAGAGAGTAGAAGCATAGACTAGGTAGTGGAAAAAAATATCATAAAGTAAAGAGATATAATTAGAGAGATCACAACAACAAAAATTATACCGATTCAATTATTTCTCCCTTAAACCAAACTCTATTTCTTTTTGTTGTTGAAGTCGTCATTATTGTGAATAGATGATTGATTAAGAATAGTTTCTCAATGTTCTCAGCCAAGGCAAGCGACAAAGATTCAAAAACAGTATCTTGAAAATTTGAGTTTGAATATTTATGTCAGTGTTCACTTTATCCAGTATATGGTATGTTTGAACCTTGACATCAATCTACAATGTTATATTTTAAAAATAATAACCATTTTTGTGCTTTTTTTTTAATTAAATTATTTTGAAAAGATATTGCAACCCAAAAAGAAAATGGTGAATGGTAAGAAATTAAAAAAGAAATCAACAAAAATATATTGTTTTCTTTTCATTTTTTTTTTAACATTAACTATTTTCTTTTGGTATTGTTAAATAAGTCATCTATTACCTCAGTGAGACAACCAATCGAGGGAAAAAGTCCCTCAGGGACACGCTTTAAATCCCACCAATTGCACTTTATGATTTTATTTTTTTTAAATAGGTCCCTTATTTTATTTATTTTTTTAATTAAAATAAATCATCTATTTCATCAGTTGAAAATCTCAACCGATGGAAAAAGTCTCTTTGTAATTGGAAATCAGTTATTCCTTTGGTTGGACTTTCCAACTGAGAGAGAAAATCTCACTCATTCCTTTAGTTTTTGAAATGTTTAAGGTATAATGTCTTGTTGTTGTTGAGATTGAAGGTTTAATGTTGCTATTGTTGTCGTTGTTGTCGAAATTGAAATTTTAAAGGTTTAATGTTGTTGTTGTTGAGATTGAAGGTTTAACGATTTTATTAATTTTGTTGTTGTTGTGATAAGTAAAATAATTAATTTTGTTGTTGTTGTTGTTGTTGTTGTTGTTGTTGTTGTTGTTGAGATTGGAGATTTATTGTTGTTGTTGTTGTTGTGTTAACTTATCAAAGTCTTGACATATCTCTTAAAGGTGTGGAGAAATCTTAGTTGAATTTTGGTTGTTAAAATGTGTAGATTATAAAATGATTTTAATGTAGACGAGGAGTTTGATATCGCTCTAAAGCCATTAACTAAGGAGGAAATTTATAAATGACAACAACATAATAATGTTGTCTTTAGAAATAACCAAAAAGGACCCGTGGAGAAAAATATATGGAAAAAGAGGTCGGTGTTTTTTTATCTTCTATATCGGTCTATCATTGATGTAAGACATTGTCTTGATGTGATACATGTGGATAAAAATATGTGTAATAGTGTTATCAAAATACTTCTCAACATTCAAGGCAAGACAAAAGATGGTAAGAATTTTCGTCTTATGGTGGAGATGGGTATACAACAATAGTTAACCCCAAGAGAAATAAGTAAAAGAACATAGTTTCTCCCAACATGTCACACTCTGTGTAGAAAAAAATATATTTTTGGGAGTGTTTGCAGGGTATCAAAGTTCTCTAAGGATACTCATCAAATGTCAAGAAACTTGTATCAATGAAAGATCTTAATTTAATTGGATTATAATTTCACGAGTGTAATGTCTTGATACAACAACTTCTACCAATGGATATCTATGACATCTTATAAAAAAATGTAAGAAAAACTATAACTGAATTATGCTTATTCTTCAATTATATATGTAATAAAGTTATTGATCCAAAAAATTTAGATGAGTTGGAACATGAGGTTGAAATTATATGTGTCAATTGGAGATGTATTTCCCTCCATTATATTTTGACATTATAATTCACTTGATCGTTCATCTAGTAAATGAGATTTGGTTTTATGACCTAACTTATTTAAGGTAGATGTATCAAGTAGATAGATACATGAAGCTATTTAAAGGGTATAATAAGAATCATCATTGTCTGAAAGCTTCAATTGTTGAAAGGCACATCATAGAAGAAGCTATTGAGTTTTGTTTGAACTATTTATCAAGAGAAGACTTTATAGTAATTATCAAGTCTTTTCATGATGAAGATATGAAGCTAGCATCACTCAATGTTTAAATTTTAAGTCAATGGCATAAGATGCAGTTCTTTAAACACATTTGTATATATTGAATAACATTGATGAAGTTCAACCTTACTTATCCATTCATAAAAGAGTTATCAAGGAAAAATTCTTCCCGATCAGTGAAAAATGGTTGTTTAAAGAGAATCACAAGAGTTTCATAAATTGGTTCAAAGAAAGGGTTTCTAAAGATGAGAGTGCATTTGAGACAATTAAATGAATTCCATATATTCTTAAATTTAATGTAATAACTTGAATTGTGTATGAAATTAGTAAATTATACTTCTATATAGAAAGGATGATCGCAGTTCCATGAAAAATAGTGGGGTCATTGAGAAAATTTGAGGGATTAATAATGTTATATTTAAAGAGCCTTTATTTAAATTCAAGTGGATTGATAGTAACACTGATGTACAAGTTGATGAATTAGGACTTACATAGGTTGACCTTTGTAAGGAAACTTATATGAACGAACCTTTCATCATGGCTTCCCAAGCAAATCAAGTGTTTTATGTCACTACTCCTTCTAGTAATAGATGTTCAATTTATCTATAAGGAAAACACATTTATGCTAGTGATAAAAATCAATATTTCACTCTAGATATTTCTGAGACCTCTTCATTCGCAACACACATGTGTACCTCATATGAAGAAAATAATTCAGATGATGTGCATGTTATTCGTTATGATTATAAAAAAGGGATATGGGAAAACTAACAAGTAAATATTTTATGCGACTTAGTAATATATATTTATAATAATAAAATGTTCACTTTACTTTTGAATATTTTTTTATTAATGTTTAATTTTTTTCCAACTTGTAAAGTTATGGAAAGATACCATATGTTGCATGAATATTGTCTTTGTCGGCATTGTTGATTCATGGAAGTAAGTAATCACTTTATCTATGCATGTAACTTATTTATGCTAGTCGTTGTTTTTGATATTAAATGTTTAACTATTTTATTGACTTGTTGTTTTGTTGTTGTTGTTGTGTTAGTAAAAGATTTAATGTTGTTGTTATTGTAAGCAAAGTTAATATTATTATTGTTAGTAAAATAGTTTAATGATGTTATTATTGTTGTTGTTGTCTTCGTTGAGATTCAAGGTTTACTATTGTTATTATTATTGTTATTGTTTTTTAATTTAAATATTTAAAGGTTTAATGTAGTTATTGTTATTGAAAGTTTATTGTTGTTGTTGTCGTCATGTTATCTTAATTGTTTTTACATTTATTTCAAATTATAGGTGTTTAACGGCTAGACACCATTCACAAAAAGAAACTTAAAGGATATCTGTTCATGTTAGGAAACTTGCTTCCTTGAGTTTGTTCATTTACAAGCACATTGATTTCTGTTGGTTGTTGACTTATTACTCAACTATTTGCACATGTTTTAGTTTTGTTGTAAAAAAAGAATATGCGTGACATTTTAGTTTTGGTGTAAACAATGTATGGTTTTGGTACAAAATGTGTGCCATTTAAGGTATATATAGTTTTGATTCACAAATATATCATCTGGTTGTGTTTCACAAATATATCATCTGGTTGTGTTTCACAAAAGGTGTAATTTAGGTTATGTTTCAAAAAAAAATAAAAGTCAAAACAAAAATTATGTAAAATTAGTGAGCTTTCCATAACACCTTTCGTTACTTTAGTTTACCAACAAAAGTTGTTTTTCAACCGAGATACAAATCCTTCCATAAAAGTTGACTTTCAACCGAGGTAAAAACGCTTTTTTTGTAGTAGTGTTGAGCTATTGCACATGATCAACCCAACAACCTTCATTACACAAGGTTTTTTACCAAGTATATCTTGCAACCTTAAATTCAATTACATATTCGCAAGAGTCTAATTTCTTGTAATACAATATGAACACAATAACATAATTACACAACTCTCAATATAAGTCTTTCAACCTCTCAGCACTAAAATAATGTATAGTGAATAAAACCGATTTTAGAAGAAGAGTGAGTGAGATATGAGAGTAGAATGTTCATATAATTTATGCATTTGAAGTTATACCAACACTCATTTATATAGGAAAATATTTTAGCTAAAAAGGCAATAATCCTCAAGTGATACCATTCTCTAATCGCTTGAGTTGTAGCGCTAATTGATTAGATTAGATATAATAGGAGATCTTAATTCAAGTTTGCTCCTTAATTGATTAATTAGCTTCCTAATTGATTAGGAGGCGAACTAGATCATTAATCGATTAGAAGAAGGGTATAATCGAATAGACAGTGAGTTTTGTTTTTTAAATTGGTCGGAATTGCTTTTTAATCGATAAAGCATTTGCCACAATTGGTTTTTAGAAGAAATATGAAATAGATGAAGAGTTTGAAAACATTTTAGTGCGTGTGTACATTACCTTAGTACTTCAAGACTTACTCTTGCTCATTTTACACGCTAATATTCCAAACTATATAAAATACAAAATAAAGCACGAGATCATAGGGGAGCTTGCATAAACTTTAGTTCCTTTGATGTTGTTCTAAGAA